TACTGAATCATCTTCTCTGTCAGAGCCCACACCAGAGTTGTACCTGGAAATGCTACCACTCTTACCGTGGCTACGCCATCTGCTGTGTCAAGTAAGAAAGAAAGGTTTTGGCTATATATGCACAGCGAATACTGTCTTGTCATGTTTTTGTTACTGCAGGTTACAGCAACTAGTTACTTGTTACACATCACTATCTCATCAATTGCGACAGTGTTTGTGCTTATGCTCAGTATCGTAGTCTTGGGTGCATTATACGAAGGTTAGTGATTCCTACTCATAGATGATAAATCTAGATTTGTCAAAGGAAGAAGAATATTCCCAAGATTGAGGCTCATAATCCACTTGAAACACATTTATGAAACTGACAGCAATCAGGTTACTACCACTATACCATTGGAAACAGGTTAGCCTCATAACTGTTATAGTGCAACAATGCATGTACTTCCAATAATTGGGAAATCTTATTTTTGCATATAACTTCTCTTCTGTTTGCTCTACTAATAACAAACCTTAACACAATGGTCAAGACATCAAGAAGTAATGAAAATGAAATGGTTGCCATGGTTACCATTACATAATCATAAACAAACATGAATATGTAATTTTCCTGTTAGTACTATGTAGATTTTCATAATGCACCCTACATGGACAAAATGGGTATCATTCTAAAGCTCTCAATGTGCTCTACTAACCTATCAGACAACTTTTGTTTTATTTCTTCCGTAGAATATTTCATGAATTATTTTCGATTTATGACATGATTATCTGGATAACTATGTACTTTCACAGGGTATTACAAAAATTCATAGAAATTTTCCTAGAGAGAGGTAATACATAAGGCTACATTTGCTACAGAAAAAAATATGGAAAAAGTACAATAGCATAGAGAAATAAAAAAGAAAAATTCCCACAGACACTAAATCATCTCGGTCGAGGTGTGATATCCAAAGCGCTCGGTCATATGATCACTGTCCGACTTCATGCTTATATCTAGGTCAAAGGAGGGGTCTATATCTTTATTATCCGTCTCCAATTCATGAATACTGACGTCTAGGAGGTCTGCCATACCGTTAACATCGTCTTCATGCGAGGCCGCGCCCGACTCAGCGACCTCCGTCGAACTCTCGCCCGCGGAACGCCTTCTTTTCTCTTCCCTTACCTTCTCAAGGCTCAACTCTCGCTGTCTCTTCTTAGCAGATCTCGGTGGTATCTTAAAAGACTCGAAAACAACCGAAGACGCCTTCTCTCTCACTTTCGCGGCAAACACGCGGCAATACGTTGGTGACGTCACGTAACGGTAAAAATTTTACATTACAGCCTTGGAAGCGCTACAAATCGGCGGGTACAATGAAAGCCAGCTACCCATAGGTCCCATGGACATAAAAATGTACCATTGCAAACATCATGGAAAGCGTCGTTCAATGCAAAAAACAGCATAAAAATATCTCCTTCCAAAAA